CTGAATCTTAATATCATATAACAGTTAAAAATAATAATTTTACTATGTATATCCTTAACAATATGTACAGTTTTCCATTTTCTATTAGCCCAACACCTTTCACATGGGGGATATTCCAACCTATACAGGAGGCAAAAAATACACAGTGCCTGGAGCAGTTCTACTGATGAAGTAGGTACTATTACATTTCAACACAATACTATAGACTTTACACTTTATTTTCATAAATACTTCTCTTGTTATCTTTCACATCCCATGGGAAATTCCCCTCCCTCCCTCCTTTTTTTTGGTCAGGGTCTTACTCTGTTTTCCAGGCTGGAGTGCAGTGGCACAATCACAGCTTACCACATCCTTGACCTCTTGGGCTCAAGTGATCTTCCTGCCTCAGACTCCCAAGTAGCTATGACTATAGGCACGTACCACCACACCTGGCTAATTTTTTTATTTTTTAAGTAGAGACGACATCTTGCCTGTCCTGCCACGTAGGCTGGTTTCAACTCCCAGGTTGAAGTAGTCCTCCTGCCTTGGCCTCCCAAAGTGCAAGGATTACAGGTATGAGCCACAGGCTCAGCCAAGGAATTGCCATTTCATCAAATATTCTCTCCTCACCTCTAGAGAGAAGCAGAATTTATGGTATTAACAAATCATGATGACTAAAATACCTTCCTACTGACAAAGTATGTCCTCACTTTTTGATTATGGAGACTTCTCTTGGATCTAACTTGGACTGGAAACAGAGAAAATAAAGTATAATAAAGTTTAAGTATCCCTAACTTTTACTTTTATTTCTGAACATGATGAGATGGACTATCCCAAGTGTTTCTTATACATCAAGTTCTCATCATCAGCACAGCACATAGCCAACTATTCTGAAGAAGCACCTACATGTATACCTTCAGGGTATGTATGCCTATGTGTGAGGGTCAGTGTATAGAAGAGTGGGGGAACAGGGAAAAAGAGAGTTTAGTTATAAAAGCCTAGACCATCACAAAAGCCTAGACCATCACAAAAACCTTCATCTGCCCCAACTCAAAATCCTTCATCATGTCACCTTACCAGGCAACTGATTGCCAAACCAAAAATAAAAACAAAAATAAACTATGAAGCAGGTAATAAAAAGATTAGAAGTACCACTTTCCTTAAGTATATGACTTCTCAGTATAGCCAGTTACTAGTTTTCATCAAATGCATGCACAGTAACACTATCAAAGAATAACTCCTATTTTGGAGTCCTTTTTGGAAACTTCAGATAATATTAACAATTTCAGAATGGTGAAGTTTTTTTTTTGCCAAAAAAAACTTCTTCTCAAGAAATCTCAGTATTCTGTAGACACACAGTACACATTAATGCCAGGGAACACAACTGTTTTTGGGGCACCAGTAAAGATAGAGCTCTCCATGTCACTGCCACCCACTGCATTCATCATCAGTATGCACTGGGGTAACAAGACTCTATCATCAATCCTGAAAGAAATCTTATCTGTTGTTGTGAAAGTATTCTACTGCCTTTGAGTGCCAAGCCTTGAATCATAGCCTGTATAAGAGGATTTGTCAAGAAAAATCTACTATTGTGAAAGTTGCCAAACTCATGAAAGCCAAGACTTTCAATCAAGAGCTTTTCAAGAGGTTTGTCAAGTAATGGGGGCAACTATGAAGTTCTTCACTTCATATAAGTTGACTGACTTTCAACAGACAATTGGGCTTCATGGGATAAAACAAAACTCTTTTAAATAGTTTAACCCTTCAAACTTAAAACTGAAGTGTAGAGTCATAATTCTTTCCTTCCTAACAAAATATTATGATATAAATCTTGCCAAATATGATTTCATTAACTTGAAAGCAAAGAAATCTGAATTATGTGATGTCTTAGAGAATCCTTATTTCTTGAAACAAGCCTACTTTCACTGGGCAAAAGAGTCTAAAGATTCCATTTACTCTTTCATTCTTTTGTGAAATAGGGATTTTCAGCATTTGTTTTCACCAAAAACAAAGTCAAGAATGATTAGATACTAAAGATGACATAAAAGTTGCAAAGACAATAGCAAAGTATCAACTTGTTATTTTAAAAGTTAAATGATAGCAGCCCTTTTGTTAAAATTGCTATTCAGTATAACGAAAGTTTAATTTTGGTGAATTTGTACCATGTATACGGATTTATTAATTGCTCTCAAGTAGAGGCCACTGGTTTTTGCGTGAAAAATCTGTGACATAGTCTCATGAAGGTTCTTTTTATATTCCATGTTTAAAAAAATAAGTTTAATGCAATAAAAATTATAAGCAAAATTTTATGTTTATGTACACCATGCAAATTTTGTGGTAAGAGAACATTTACATCTTTCATCAGATTTTTAAAAGGTATATTACACAGAATTATATGTAACACAAAGACGTTCTAGTTTTTTTTTTTTTTGAGTTGGAGTCTCACTCTGTCACCCAGACTGGAGTGCAGTGGCCGCTCCCGGCCACCACAACCTCGCCTGCTGGGCTCCGGCGATCCTTCCGCCTCAGCCTTCCGAGTAGCCGGAATTACAGGCATGCGCTACCACGCCCGGCTGATTTTTTGATTTATTGTAGAGATGAGGTCTCGCTGCCCAGGCGGGTCTCGAACCCGCGGGCTCAGGCAATCCACTCACCTCAGCCTCCCAAAGGCGCGGGATTACAGGCTGAGCCACCGAGCCCGGCGACGTTCTAGTTTAAATCTAGTGTTCTGGTTCCACATTACACAACTTCTCTACCTTAATTTTAAAATGTTTCTACTGATTACTTTTCCACCACCAAAAAATGTTTGCTGCTCAACAACCCTGTTTAAAATTCTACCATTGCTTCTGCGAATGCACTTTAATTTTATCCATTTCTCTATGCATTCCTTCCCATCATTCTCTTTTCCCTGTACTGCCTTCCATATATTCTCTAACATGTAGAAAAAATTGCCTTCTATACTTTTAACCAGTAAAAGCAATTGTTTCCTTCCAGATGATGACAGAATGAACCAAAGTAAACACCTGCAGGTTCTCAGCTCTATAACTCATTCCCATGCTATCATCTCAGGGCACAAACAATATATGTAGAAATGTAAGGCCATGTGCCATAATTTTCAATGTTCACCAACATTATGCACTAATATAAGGTTCAATTTTGTAAACTATCACCAATAAATAGTACTTTGGTATCCTTACATACAATGCAAGAAAGTTACAAAGACAAATAAAAGGCTACAAAACAAGGGTGATGAAGGGGTTAAGAAAACAAGGAATCAATGCAATTACACATCTTAAAAAGATAAATATGATCACCTCTATTTCTGCTTTGAAGGTGAATTAAGAAGAAATTAGCACATCCTGAAAGAGAATCGTCTTGATTATTAAAAATATCTTTATAATTATTATTTTTCTAGTTGAGTCATACTCTGTCACCCATGTTGCAGTGCAGTGGCACAATCACAGCTCACAGTAGCTCTGACTTCTTGGGCTCAAGTAATCCTTCTGTCTCAGTCTCCCATGTAGCTGGGACTACAGGCTGGCCTCAAACTCTTGAGCTCAAGCAATTCTCCGTCTCAGCCTCCCAGAGTGTTGGAATTACAGGTATGAGCCACCATGCCTGGCCTGATTATAACAAGTATTAAAACTAGAATAGATTATTCACACAAAGGTGGATGTCTCCTTCCCAAGCACCCTCTAAACAAGTTGTTTCAACTATTGGAGTGATTTAGGCTCTGTCCTTCTTAAAGATGGAGAAATGTCATCAAATCTCTTTTATTAAATATTAATGTGTTTGTTTTGCCATACATCCAAATAGATCCTTTGAAAATCACTGTGAAAGTTCTCACAAGAGTTTGCTTTTTGCTTTCAAGTGTACTACACAAATTAAATTTGTCACTGATTTTCAATACAATCCTTAGTTTTCTGAATAATCAAAAAATCTTTTCATTAACCTAATTATAAGTACATTTTAAAATATTCTTATCAAAGAAAAATTTTTATTACAAAAGTAAAGTTCATACTCTACTCGGTAATGGCAACTAAGTTATTATCCAAAGGCATTTTATTCTCAAGAAAGCTTCAGAAATATCAAGCTTACTTTTGACTAACATGCTGCCCTTTTGAGGGGAGGGGGCAGTAAATCAGGTCTCGCTCTGTCACCCAGACTGGAGTGCAGCGGCACAACCACAGCTCACTACAAGCTTAACCACCCGGGCCCTGGGGTTCCTTCCACCTCTGCCTCCAAAGTAGGTGGGACTAATGCACATGCCACAACACTCAGCTAATTTGTTTTATTTTCGTAGAGATGAGGTCTTCTATGTTGTCCAGGCTGGTCTTGAACTCTTGGGCTCAAGCAATCCTCTCACCTAAGCCCCCTAAAATGATGGAAATACAGGCGTGAGCCACTGTGTCCAGCCTAATAAGCTGCTTTTTAAAAATGGTATTTTAGAAGGATTTTGAGACCAAATCTGCAATACAGCTAATGAGTAAGATTTGGTAACATGGTAAGAAAATGGTAGGATGAACAGAAATATTAAATGAATCACTAGTTTGTTCATTTAGAAATTGAGGCAGCAACTAATTTACAAATTTAGAAGAAAGAATAAGGATTAGCAACTATCTTTTAAAATGTTTTCCAGGGACTAAGAAGGAAGGGAGATGTGGCTCAAATGGTACAAAGTTTCAGTTACACAAGATGACTAAGATCTGGAGATACACTGGACAGCATGGTGACTATATCTAACAATAATGAACTATATAACTGAAAGTTGAGGAGTGTAGAGCTTAAATATTCTCACCATGAAGCGGGTGTTATAATCATGTGAGGTGATAGGTATGCTAAGTAGCTTGATTGTAGCAATCATTTCACAATGTATTTCAGAGTATCCCATTATACGTAATATTACATAAAACTTTTGTCAATTCTACCTCAATAAAGCTAAAGAAAAAAACCCACAAAATCTGTTTTTCAATAAATTCTTGGATCTAGAAAGAGGAAAAAAATATTAAAAAATAACTTACCTTTTTATCTCTGGTCCTTACTTCCCCGTAGAAATCTAGGGCCTCTTGTGCCTTTAAAAATTTACCCCGATGTAATAAATATGCACAAATCATTACACCAGTTCGTCCCTTTCCAGCTTTACAGTGAATTGCTGCAACGTGATTGTCATCTTCACTTAGCCATTGGTCAAGATCTTCACAAAAAGGTTTGATAAGTTCTAGCTGTGGTGGGTTATGGTCTTCAAAAGGATACTGTGCAACTGTAGTAAAAAGATAACCTCAGAATAAGAAAGAAACCCCTCCTGAATTTTCAATTAAAAGTAAGTTAATTAAAAGTAGCTTCTTCCTTAAAAGAAAAACTGAATTCCAGAGAAAAACAATTTACCTGTTAGCTTTCTAATTTTTGAATAGAAAATAGTCTCTCACTAACTTTTAAATGTACCATCAGACAGGGAGGACAAGTATTTTTTTCCTCACTTTATGCAGGAGGATAAATTTTGAGGATTTATGCTATATGGAAAGGTAGCACAGGTCACATATCAGAGGTAGAGCTGAACCCAAAATAAATGTCTCATGGACCTTCTGTCAGGAATCTCAGTGCATTTTCTAATTTAAAAATTAATACCATTTACAATATTGCATCTTCACAAAACATACTGTAAGGAAAGTATAGATTACTAATAGAAAGGACTGCAATTTACATTTTATAAAATAAAAATGCTAAGTGTGTTAATCTTACGTGTTACTGCTGCATACACGACTTTAAAGGCATTTACAAAATTAACTGGATAAAAAGAATTTTGCCTATTAGTGTTTAGCTTGGTTCCACACTACTAAGAATCTTAAAAACTCTATGTCATCTAAATTTGAGTACTCTTCTATCTCCAGTCGAGTCACTCATAATGTGGTACAGGATACAATCACTTAAGTCCTTTGGTGTGACAAGAGAACTCTCTGTAGACAATGACTACCATTATAGGGAGTCAGTGAGACAACTTTCACTTAGTTGTGTAACTATACTATCATTCCATCTTCATTTTCCCAGTGGTACAAAAAAAATCTTGGGAAATATGTTAAATGTCTACTTAAAGCTAGATAAGCCTCAACTAAATAGCATAAATTCACAAGAAAATAAAAACCAGAAATATTCTGAGTGAAATCTGTACTAAACCTCAATCATTAGTAATTTAGAATTCTCACACCATCTCTTTGAAAGTCCATTCTACATTTTCAGGAGGAATCAGTGGCAAATACATCAATCAGTGCTCATGGCACCCACGTTCCCCTTTTGACTATCACAGCAGCATCTGCCAAGCTTTTCAACTCTTCAGTTCTCTCATGGTTTAAGGGTTCCACAAATACAAGTGAAAGTTTTTGTGGGCTTTGAGACAGAATTTATTTATGTCTGGAGTAGCACTCATTTAAAGCAGTTCCCTCCTCTCATCCATCAGGCACCTCTTATTCACATTTGTTATATCCTTTCCCATTTTTTATGTCATTCCTCAACCCAGAGGAGGAGTTAGGTAGTTCTGCTTTCTGCCTATAATCACTTACTATACACCAAGCCTCAAACATTAGGTAAAGCTTCTCCTTATCCTAGCGTTAGGCTAGAATGTTCTCCTAACTCTTGGTCTACTCTGCACTTTAGTTTTCCTGACAATATTATAGGTCTGTATGGTACCTGGTTCCTAAAGCAGAACAGCAAAATTAAATATACTTTTCAAATTTTCTAAGATCATACTTAAGATAAATATTTATCTTACTTAATACTATAGATGATTCAATAGTGGATGACAGTAACATACAGTCTACTGGTTATAAGTTATATAACACAGTACAGCACATTTATACCTACCTCTGCAGTTAAATTTGGCGGTGTCATAATGTCTTTCAGCACATCTAAAAGAAAAGTTTAAATGAGACATAAAGTTACCATTTATACTTGGGGGAAATTAATTAATGTTAACAAACATTTCCTGAATCTTTATAACACATCACATATTGTGGTAAGCGTTTAATATTCATTATTTTATTTAATCCCAAGAATTCTATGACATAGATACTGTTATCACCTACATTTTATAATTAATGAAACCAAGGCCTAAAAAATTAAGTATGCAATTAGAGCTTATATATTTGCTTACAGAACTTGTGATACCACTAATATACAATACTGTAAATTCAGTGGCATCCATACCTTCGAAGTTTCTCTATGAAAATGTTGCCTGCTATTGAAATGTAATTTTGATTTCACAAGTATCTGTAAACAACTGACTAGTTTCAATATTTTCTTGACCCCACAGCTGAGCATACACAATTCCCAAACTTTTTTTTTAAAAGATACATGTTAAAAATAATTGAAGAGTAAGGGCAAAGGAAAAGAAAAGAAAAACTGAATGATGCTTATCTACTTGGCTATAATGTTTCCTACATTTTTTAAAACCAGGATTTTCTCCCTTTTGAAAAGTTAAAGGCCATCTTTTTCAATAATCTCTCAGGTTAAAACTTTAATTAAAGTCTGAAAGTAATGAAAGAGTAAGTTAAATCAATATAGAATAGCAAAATGCTGACAGTATTACTAAACTATGCTAATATTTATCTACTTAGTAGTGATATGTTTGTTATTATGTATTGGCTTACTAATAATTAATAGGCTATGTTTATAAACAATAAAAGGCTCAGAAACAGATCTACGTATCAGATGTCATCAGCAGCATCCTGGTAACCTCAACCACTAATCAAAACCAATTTTTAAAAAAATATTTAAAATAAAAGCTTAGCATTTTAAAACAAAGAAAGATCCATAACCCCTTAACAAGCAATTCCAAAATCCCCAAAATTCAAAACATCTAAGATTTTCTCTTAAATTTATGGCAAACTCAATTGCAGCGGATCCTGATCTGAGGTTGTAAGACCATATATAGTCCTAATTAACACATTTTAAGTGAAGAGTCAAACATTTCATTCCAGGTGCTGATTGAGACCCCACTGGGATATTTAAGTAATACAAAGTATATGCTTCTGTGTTACCTTTTGGAAAATGGAAAAATTTGGAATACCGAAACATGCCTAGCCCCAAGAGTCTCAAGTAAGTGACTATATTGAGAAACCCCGAAAACATCTATATAGTTTCTCTAAGGAGTTTCCAACAAAATTCACACGAAGGTTGTACTAATTATAAATAAACTGTAATGCACTGGTTTCTAACTAGTTAGACCTTAAATAAATCAACTTTCATATAACCACTCTAAACAATACAAGCTTTTCCTCTGTAGTATATTATAACTTAGTATATTGAGTTTTGCTAGAAAGAGAATTTATTTAACATATGTACATATATGCATCCTTGCTAAACAATTTCATATCCACTCAAATGAAAACCATGACAAGCTGGAAGACGACGACTGACCAAGAATATAGTCACATTTTAAACTCTGACACAGATTAAAGAAAGAAGAGAAATGGTCAATAGTGAAAATTCATAATGAGTATTTTATAAGGTATCATGTAAAGGCTTAAGGGGTGAGGGAGAGATGTGGGACTAGGAAAAAGAAGCTAACAAGTTGCTCTCACAACAGCACAACAGAAAATAAAAATGAGTTTTGTGCAGCTTCACTTCTCTAAACTTCACTTACTTTCTCAGGATCTCAGAACATTTGGTTTGATGAACACTGCTTAAGATTGCCTTCATAAAATGGTTCTAAAATTACTGCAGAGAACTATATGGAGGGAAAGTGAGAATAATGACTCTTAAGTGACTACTAGATGCGCATATCTTACAAAGGAGTTTCCATGTTTTTTGTTTCAGTCTTACAACGACGTGGTAGCAGCTAATATATTATCCTCATTTTATATATATAAGAAAGCTAAGATTTAGAACAGCTTAAAAAAAACTTGCTCCAAATCACAATATATAAATGGGAGAGTCAGAACTCAAGCTCAGTATCTCTGATTCCAAGAGTCAAGCTTTTTTTTTTAACTATTGCTCTATAATTCCACTTACAATGGAAAATACAAAAGTTTTAAATACAAAAGCAGTAACAAAATTTAGTTAAAGCCAGTCCTCTTACAAGAGCAATAAAATTTGTCACAAAAACTACAACTGATAAAGACAGTAAAAAAAACAAGAAAAAAGTTATGAAAATCTTCGCAGGGACGCATAGACAATATGGGAACATATATGCCGAGACTGGTGGTGATAACTGTGCTCAGAGAAGGGGTTGGAAGGGTAAGGATGAAGAATTTCTTCTTTATTAAAATCTTTTCTGATAAATGCCTTCCTTCTCTCCACCCACACAGCTTCTTTTAAATTTTTTGTGGTATGTTAGTAATAAGTCTCTTAACAAACTAAAATTAAAGATACACACATGGCAAGTGGGATTAATCATTTAAATTTAACCATTCGTATCTCCTATAAGTTCAAAAGATAATCATTACTTTTTTGTCATCACTTCATATTGGTTTCTATGAGACAGGAAAAATGAAGAAGCAGTGAGTTGTTATGAAGCAGCAGACAGAAAGTAAAGAAAGGATAAGATTGACAGGAAAAGCTTCCAGAGAAGTGAGACTTGCCATAGAATTAGCTAGGAATGCAGGTCTGTTCTTTACTCTCTTCAATGAAGCTGTCCCTATCTTACAAACAAACTTCATAGATAAAAATTGATGATAGCTAAAAGCTTACTACAAAATGAAAAGGTACGTCAAATATGCAGCAAAACACAATAAATACCTTTTAAAAATTAGTATACAGTAAACACTAAAGTTCCTATCTCACCTCCACTATCCCCACAAAATACAGAGGAAGAAACAAAAACGAAATATACTTGCACAAAACAAACTGATTAATTTAACTATCAGCACATCTAAATTTGGTTAATGTTATAAAGCTAATTTGTCCTTAAAATAACTTACTGAATATCTGAAGAAAATATGGAAACAGAAACAGAAAAAATCAATTATTAGAAAGTCTACGTTAAGAACGCTTTCTTATCCATATGTATCATAATTATTAATAAGAGGCTTCAAATTATATACATTTGCAAAGATATATATCACATGTGATTACCATTCTGAGAATAAAAGAAATAAAACAGAAACACCTACTGCTGCCAGACTCACCCAGAACCAGAAATATAAACAGGAATAGAAGGAAGGCAAAGAAGATTTGAAAGTGACATCAGAAATCAAAACATGCTATAACTTGGTAGTTCTAGAGACTTCTGAAGTCAGTAAAATTTGGGGAGGTTAAAACAAACAAGCAAAAAAACAAAACATAAAGGGAATATTGGTATAAATAGTGGATGGTCTGCTACCACATGTACCTGTGTGACCTTGTTCAACTCACTTAACTTCTCTAGGCCTCAGATTCCCCATCTGTAAAATGAGAAGGTTGAACTAAATGATCTCTTTCAGGTACTTTCCATTTCTGAAAGTCTATGATTCCATGTGGGGAAGGAGTGTTAAAATATATGCATTAAAAGCTACTCTCAACTAAGAGATAGTTCATTAACTTGGGAGTCCAATGTTTAGAAATAGAAAAACAAACAGGCAGTCAAGTTCCTAGGCCTCAACCAATGAAAACTTTAGCCATAATAATGTAAGTGACCCATAATACTTATGAGCTTAAATTCTAAGTTCTGGAAGCAGGAAGTCACTACATACAGGAATGAAAAGAATTTCCTTCCCTTTCTTTCAATATGTTAAACTGGAATAAAATTTGGAAAAAGGCAGAATTTGTTTTTGGTATCTTTCAACTCCATTCTGGGGCTCTCCAAATCCCCAATCCTGAGAATATACACCTGAAATCACAGAGTTTAATGAATTCTAGGTTTTGACCGCTCTGTCCTTTTTTTTCCCCCACTGAACTTCTGAATCCAGTTGTGCAAAAAGCTTTTTGGTTTTTATTTTACACCAAAGAAACATGGTACCTACAGCAACAATGCTCATCGTAGGAGAGGTTAATAATGAAGAGAGAAATACCCCTAAATGCACAGATAATCTGTAAGCTGGGAACATTAAGTTTCTTTTACTTTATTACCTATTACCACTGCATTTTTCTTCTCAATATATACATACTGCAATCTGATTACAAATAATTTTCTGCCATATTTTAAATACTAATATGTTAACAAACTTATTTGCCACTGCTAGGGCCTACAATGCCATTTTCTTTCCTCCTATACCTGAGGGTTAACCCTACTGATTTCTTTTCATCCAGGTTCAGACATGGCTTCCTTCATGAAACCTTCCCTATAGGGTACAATTAGTATTTCCACTGCTCTCTTCTTACAAAAGTGACCTCTTCTGGGGGGTGGGAGGGGAAAAAGTTACTCCTTCTGTAATGCTTTGTCTACTTTTCACATTAGACTATAAACTACTTGAGGACTGGAACTAAATCTTATTCACTTCTGCACCCTCGAACATGTTTTATGTCTAGTATGCGGTAAGCACTCAACAAATTTTACTATCTTGTGAAACTGAGAAAAATCAGTGACAACTCACTAAGAGTAACAACACCGGTGACTATGCCACCCTCAGTACTTCTGAGGTCTTATCACATCAGAAAGATTTAAAAAGGCAACATCCCACAAGCCAACAAGTCACAGAGAGTACTTCATCCTTTATGGTAAAGATTTAAAAGCCTGCTGAAGGCAAAAGTGAATCTTGTTCTTACATTTGATAAATAAACTCTACAAAAAAATTGTAACAGTAAATTAGCATATGTAACTTCATTTAAAATTTTCCTATTCATAATTTATAGATATCACATGGGAAAGATAAAGGCAAGGTAGAAAAAAATATTTTATGTGCCATTTTTTAAAAATTAGAAAAAGGTCAGTATTTTTAAAAGAAAAACAGTCTTCAAAGGCTGAGAATGGTAAAGTATTTTTTTCCTTCCT